CCTTCCATTCTAAGTGAAAGCTTTGCTGGATAGAGTAATCTTGGATGTAGGTCCTTGGATTTCATGACTTGGAATACTTCTTTCCAGCCCCTTCTTGCCTGTAAGGTTTCTTTTGAGAAATCAGCTGACAGTCTGATGGGAACTCCTTTGTAGATTACTGTATCCTTATCTCTTGCTGCTTCTAGGATTCTCTCCTTCATTTTAATCTTGGCTAATATAATTATGATGTGCCTTGGTATGTGCCTCCTTGGGTCCAACTTCTTTGGGACTCCCTGAGCTTCCTGGACTTCCTGGAAATCTACTGCCTTTGCCAGATTGGGGAAGTTCCCCTTTATTATTTGTTCAAATAAGTTTTCCACTTGTTGCTGTTCCTCTTCCCCTTCTGGTACCCCTATAATTCAGATGTTGGAAGGTTTAAAGATGTCCTGGAGGTTCCTAAGCCTCTCCTCATTTTTTAAAATTCTCATTTCTTCATTCTGTTCTGGTTGAATGTTTCTTTCTTTCTTTCTTCTGGTCCACACCATTGATTTGAGTCCCAGTTTCCTTTCCATGACTATTGGTTCCCTGTGCATTTTTCTTCATTTCACTTAGTGTAGCCTTCATTTTTTCATCTAATTTGTGACCAAAATCAACCAGTTCTGTGAGCATCCTGATCACCAGTGTTTTGAATTGTGCATCTGATAGGTTGGCTATCTCTTGGTCACTTAATTGTATTATTTCTGGAACTTTGATCTGTTCTTCCTTTTGGGCCATTTTTTTGTCTTGTCGTGCCTATTACATATGAGGGGCAGAACCTTAGGTATTCACCAGGGCAGGGCAACCCACGTGGCTGGGTTGTGATGCCGTATGTGGGGGCAGAGTCTGAGAGGGAACAATGGTGCTTGCTCCGCTCTCTATTGGACTTCAGTCCCTTTGGCAGCTTCCCCCAAGTAAATTAGGCCCTTCTGGTGCTGGTTCCCAGGTGGGTAGGCTTGTGTGCATTCTAGGACCCTGTGGATCTCTCCAACGAACTCTCCTGTGAGACTGGGTGTCTCTCCCTCCACCTCAACCCCCACTGGTGTTTTCAATCGGTGTTTTGAGGCTTTATTTCCTGGCACTGGGGCCTGGGTTGCTTGGTCTGTCTCACTGCTCAGTTGTCTGCACATGAATGTGGGACCACTGCCCAGTCAGCCAGCCACCTTGTGCACAGTACTCTGCTTCTCAATGGCCGCCTCACTGGGTCTACCAGTTGCCACCCCATGCCCAGGGTCTGCCAGCCATTGCCTGGGTGCCCAGAGTTTGCCCAGTGCCGTCTTGCATGCCCAGGGTGCCTTGTGTGCCCCGTATCACCACTTCCTATGCTGTGACCCCCCTTGGCTCGGCCCCCAACTCTGCCTTGCCTACCGGTCTGGATGAATGTGTCTATTTCAGCTCCTTGACTGTCCAACTTCCAGACAGTTCAATTTTCTGTCAGTTCTAGTTGTTCTTTTGTTTCTAAATTGTTGTTGTCCTTATTTTGGTTGTTTGAGGAGGTACAGTGTATCTATCTACACCTCCATCTTGGCCAGAAGTCCCACATGGCAGTTTTTAGTGAAGTTATCAAGATGTTGCTTCACCATTACACTTGGGGGGCAGTATATAACTTTTTTAGTTCACAGGTCACCAGACCACAAGTACCACAGCTGGACCTGAGAGGGATGGCTGAACATAATTCAGAGATCGTGGACTTTGAGCTGGATGGATCCTTAATTTGTCCTTCGAGAACAATGTGACTGTATTCTAAGTGTGGTAGAAATAGTGAACCCTGTATTGGGTGATCAGGAGGGAAAACTCTGGCAGAAACTGCTACTTGTCCATCAAATAATTTTTCCTTTCTCTTCTAGGGACACAACTAGACTCCAGTCTCCTTTGCTGTGAGATGGGAACTTGTGACAAAATTTTGTCTAATGGAATATGGTTGGAAGTGATACAGCTGCTTCCTAGGCCTGGCTCCTACAGTAATCTCCAGCGCAGTCCTCCATACTCCCTTCCCTTGGTTGCTGGATCTGTGCAGAAGACCTCAAGGAGGAGGGAGCTGAGGTACTTAGAGCTATGCAGTCTCTGAATATGTGGCAAAATTGTTCCCACACACATATACACCAACACTTTCACCACTACCGCTGTCACCTCCACCACCTCTATCATCACTGCCATTCTCAGCCATTGGTTTGTAACATGAGAGAAATAAGCTTTTTTATGAAGGCATTGAGTTTTGGCATTGTTTGTTACAACAGACTACACTGACTAATACATTGCCTATTTATATATGTTAGAAAACAAACTAATCCCTGTAATATCAGTATCATAGAATTACATTGCTATGTTACTTTTAAGTCCATATAATTCAACTCCCTTATTTGACAGATAATAAAACTGTGGCCCAGAGAAGTTAATGACTTACTCAGAGTCACACGGATAATTAGGGTTAGAACTTAAACTAAAGTTTAGACATTATCTTCAGTGCAGGAATTTGGGTTGTACCATATTACCATCTTTCTGGCCACATTGCAAAAAATGTCTACTCTATTTAAATTTTTATTTGCATACATCTGATTAAATATCTTTCACGCATGTATTCCATATCCAGGGAACAAGAAAACTGGCCCAGATATTCCCTATGTTATGCTCTTCTTTGAAACTTGTTTCTCCATTTGCATTTAACTTTTCAAATTTCCCTTCTAATTCTAGCACTTTTTCAAAGATTCTTGGTTCTCCCCGCTGACAGCATGAGCTGTTATTTTAGAAGCGGACAGTGCTGCAGCGATATCATGAACACTTTTGAAAAATGATGAGAGACTGTCTGGCAATATTTTCTTTATAGCTCTCCACTTAGCTTGTAGCTATTGGCAACAAATTCTTCCAACACCTATTTTGGGTGAGAGTCCTAGAAGCTAAGAATGAGCAATTCTCACTTAACAAGCGAGGCAGCGAGTTCCCATCAGGCATTTCCAATCACATCCCAATGGTAACTTAACTTCTTTCGATAGAGAGATCCCCAAAATAAGATTGTTTTCTCTCCCAGAAACTCATTATTAGGTACCAGAACAGTCAGACAGACCCATTACCTACTATTTTTCCTTCTCAAGATATGTTTCTAAAATTTAGGTTGATCTCATTTCTCATAAACTATTTCTCCCATCCAAAGCTTTGTTTTCTATGATTCATTCCCCTTCTTATCTTGTTTCCTTCTTTCTTTTTGTCATACTTGAGCAAAGGCTTGAAGGCTAGCTCTTTTTTTGAGCATGAAGCTAGGGCTTTAAGGATGGTGATGAAGGGATGTGATACCTGCTTTCCTGTCTGCCTAGTTCTATGGTGATAGTCACATACGTTTCTGAGGTACCCATAGCCTGAGGCTTATACTCACCTGACTAATGAAATCTAAAATTAAAATATTTAGATATTAGAGATATTTAAGGGTTATCCCTCAGTGTCTTAGAAGTTGCCTTGCGTTTGTGCAGATTTTCCTTTTGTTATTGGTATTTTCTGTTTGGTACAGATACCGAACTTAGGGATACCATTTGTATAGAAATAAACTAGTTATCTATAGACTAATTCTTATAAATGACATTGATTTTGGAGAAAACTCATAAACATTTGCTCAAGGCTAGAATTCCATAATTACTATGGAGAACCAACCACTGAAAATGCAGTTAGGAAAACTAAGAGTGCAATCTGCTCATACACAATACAGATAAACCTCACATTTGTCAAATGAGAAAGGGGAAGTCTGTTGCAGACCCTGTCCAGCAGAGTCCACCTGTTGTGGTTGATGACGAGAATCATTGCACAGGCGACAACAACCCTGTGTGGAAAAAGGGAACAGGCACGACTACTCTCTCAAAGGGAGAGTGTCTATGGTGCCTCGGCCTTTCCCTCAAGAGGGGAGCACCCGGCCCTTGCCTAGACAGGCTTTTATTGTTTTCTTGGCATCTTATATCATAGAAAGATTTATTATCTATCACACAGAACATTACTGTCTACATTTTAGGTACAATCCAGGAAATAAAAATAGCATGCAGAGGGGGATGGCAATGAGCTCATTAGCTCTGTCCCTGGGAGAGCTCACATGGTTTTTGGAAGTTACCTTGAGGATAAACAATATACATTTGTTGCTTTAGACCAGGGTGAGGATGTTTTAGCAAGAGCAAGCCATAACAGTGTGTAAGCACTTTCTAGGCCTGATTCCCACGGGAAAACTCGGTTTGAAGATCTGGCTCCTGCCCACCACTTTGCATCTGTAGGTTTTCCATACAGAGCTGAGTCACATTTGCCAGGCTGAGACAAACCGGTCACCTACAGAAGTCTAAGTTGGATTTTGGTCTGCCAGAGAAGTTGTTCAGTCTATAAGAGAAGTTATTAAAGAAAAAATTATTGTAAAGGGCCCCTGTAGGAATTCCTGTTGTAGAGTCAAAAACCCTTTACTGTAAAGTGTAAAATGACTAATTTTGTGAATTGCAATCACCCACACTTGTATTTTTAGAATATGAATTTTTTGTGTGTCTGGTTTCTTTGAGGAAGGGATCGCATTGTCCGTAGTGGTGTAGAAATTTTAAATGTATAAAAGAAGCCCAAAGGGAGGCATGAAGAATCTGTCCTTGGTATGTAAATGGGCATTTGCTTTCATGAGCCTTAGCATCATTCCCCCACAGATCACAAGAATATGCAGTTGAAAAAAAAATAAAAAACCCTCCCTGATTGTGAGAAGGAAAGCACAAGCCATGTTTAATCTCCTTTAGAGACAGAGACATTCCTACGAGTATGTAAATGAATGGGCTCCACAGGCAATGACAATGAATGTGTGAGAACTGAGCTGGTGGGGGTGGTGGGCAGTGGCAAGGAATATGGAAATGGGGAAAACTTTCAGCAGTTCACATTGTGCTATCTGCCTTCCTCATTTCGTGTTTTCTGAGTCAGCATTAGCTAAATTTTCCAGAAAGCTATCCACAAAGTGCAGCCTGGGCATTCAAGGGACGTCACTCATTTCCCCCAGTGACCTTGACAAGTCAGAAGCTTGAAAGCAGGGAAATCCGGATGTCTCAGTTATGAAGTGGAGCAGCGGGGGCCCCAACATATTTCCAGAAGTCTCCATCCAGACTGGTGATTGTATGCTTGTGTGGCTGCCAGCTGCTGTCTGAAGTGCTTCTCTGGCTCTGAAGGGGTTGGCACAATGACCAAGTGCTTCAGCCCGGTGCTGCTTCTTGCCTCCATCTGGACCACAAGGCTCTTGGTCCAAGGCTCTCTCCAGGTACAAGGTAGGTTTCTTAGCAGAATGCCAGCCTGAGGCAAGGCAAAATCCTACAACCTGTCCTAAGCCTACTAAGTTCTTGACTGTGGATTGCTGGGAGTGGGGGTGACCCTCAATGTCCACAGAAGATCTAATGGGTAGTACTGGTCTACCAGAAATGTCTTCCCCGTATTGTCAGCTTCACCAAGATGATTCATGTTTGCCTTTACATTATCTTGGCTTTCATTTTTGATTATGAACTATTTTTAATGAGGATATTTTGAAACAAAACATCGAGGAAACATCATTTATTTTTAAAAATGTTTCACCGAAGAAGACAATTATGATTATATAACTTTTAAAGCAATCACTAAGCCTGGGGAAAAGGACTAGCTTTCACAGAATATTAGCCTGTTTTAAATTTTTGTAAGTGACAATATAATTATTTTAATTTCAATTTTATTATACTTTCATGGGATGCCTATGGTTTTTTTAATGAGGTAAAACATTTATTCATTTGCTTATTAAAGACATATTCAGCATCTCCTGGACCAGATAGTATGTCTGCTCTTCGTATGCAGGGGATGCAGATGTTTTTAATATGCAGTAAATAGCAAATAAATTGAAAAAATGTGAAATATAGGTTTAAAAATTAGCCATCAGCTCTCTACCAAAGGAATGACTTGAAATAATTTCTGGGCTTTGAGATGCCTAGATGATAACCTCATTCTGCACTGTAGGCAAAAAATCGTAACCACAGCACTCACTTCAGCTCTGGGCAAATAAAACTTTGAGTACATTAAAAGAAAGTTGTGTATTCTGATGCTGGAAGGTGCTCTGAGAGATACAGAACGTCAGGGACTGACATCCGGACTTGACTCATATATTATTGTGTTTAATTTTATTAAGAAAGCTAGAAGTTATATAATTGATTTTTTAAAAATATAATTAGAACTGTTACTGTCAAGTGCATTTGTTTCTCTTTGAAATCCCCCTCAGAAGACTATTCACTTCTCCCCCAAATGCTACCATTACTCAATTGTCTTTGACAATGACTCTATCACATTGTTTGGACCCTTCTCAATAATGGCAAAATTTTCCTAAGGAAATTAAATGTTTGGAAACAAATAAAAGTTACTTAGAACCACGGTTGAGGGAACAGTGGCTGATGAAGATGAGTGGATGGGAATGGGAGCTGGCCTTTTCCAGGGCCTATTATGCAGAAACACAGAGTTAAGGGCATGTATGTGTATGTGTGTGTGTATTTAAAATATATTTAATATCTAGTAAATATTTAAAAGGAATCAATCGTAACCACAAACCACTTATTGCAGCTCTGAGAAAATAAAAATCTGAGCACTTGAAAGGGAAACTGGTGTCCCTATGCTGGAGAATAATATCTCAAGAACACATGTGATAGGTGCAGAGACAGGTTCAGCGTGGCCGGGCAACACGCCTGACACGGTGCAGCAGGGCTGCCACACTCGTTTTCACCCAGGGCCACACCAGCCTCGCGGCAGCCTTCAAGGAGCTGAATGTAATTTCAGCCCTTAACGGTTCAGGAGTAGTTACATTTATACAGTCCTAAAATTATTTCGGCCCTTTGAAGGCAACCGTGAGGCTGACGTGGCCCCGGTGAAAATGAGTTTGACCCCCGCTGCTGCAGAGGCAGTAAATAATAAAGCTGGGGTTTGGATTCAGCTCAGGCCAGTGACTAGGCAGATACTGTTTCTACCATGCCCGCCGTTTCCTGAGGACGCTTAAGAGATCACTGGTATACCCCCTCGGATACCAGCTACCTGTTTTTGTCCTACAAAATAAAAAAATACTTACCTGTGACTAATATTTATTAACAGCCTACTATGGACTCAGCCTCTGCAAGGTGCTAGTTATCTAGTTCAGTTCTGACAAAAATTCCATGAAGAAGATATGGCATCCCAATTTGACAGATGAGAATGCTAACTTGCCCAGGGTCCCACTGCCGATTAATATTATAAGAAATGTTTAAAGCTAGGTCCGTTGCCCAGAATAGATCTGCCATTACTATTACTAATATTATTTAGAGTAAAAATGAGATATGATGAGAGAATATCAAGACCACTTTAGAGTGTAATTAACAAATCTGCAAGTATCTGCTCCCCAACCCCCAGTAAAATAGCCCTAAGAGGCTCAAGCAATAACAAGTTCATGGGCCAAATGAACCAAATTCCAGGACTAATGATGTGTTCCAAGAGTTCAGCTCTAGGTGTGTGTGTCTGTGTGTGTCCATTTTTTCCCCATAGCACAGTGGGAAGCAGAACAGTGTGTGGTTAGGACTGGGGTTTCAGAGTCAGTCATAACTGGGTTTGTGCCACCAGTCTGCCACTAGTTGCTCTAGATCCTTGGGCTTGGGAAAGTTACTAATCTCCCTGAGCCTCAATTTTCTGTTAAAAAAAAGACAGTGTTTGGCACAGAGTAGCATCAACAGGTTATAGAAGTCGGCATTAATATTGGCGTGGTTCGCATGTAATAGGTTGTTTGGTCCCAAACACTCGCATCAAAGTGCTGGCTCTCGGGTCTCTCCCTTGGTGAGAGCAGGGTCCGGAAGCAAACAAGGCCGCCCACGAGTACTGTACATAATACACCTACTTCTTCCCACAGCCCCCTTACCCAGAGCACAGCAAGGTCACATGGAGGACTTAGAAATGCTCCTTCCATGCTTTCCAGACGAAACTTCCTTTGAACACTAACCTAGAAAGTGGTCAAAGCATTTGACTGGGCATCCAGTGCACAGATCTGTGTATAAGCAATTACTCGGAAGATTGAAACACACTTATATGGACTTTTGTGGATGAAACCCAATAGGAATAATGTACCCAAATGCACTGCAACTGACAATTTCATATAGGTCTATAAATCTCAGAATTCTATGGATTGAGTGTGGGCCTGCTAACCAGAGTATCGCGGTTCGATTCCCAGTCATGGCACATGCCTGGGTTGCAGGCCAGTTCCCAGCAGGGGACACACAAGAGGCAACCAGACATTGATATTTCTCTCCCTATCTCCTTCCCTTCCACTCTAAAAATAAATAAATAAAATCTTTTAAAAAATCTCAGAACTCTGAAGGAAGGGATTAAAAGAACTCTCAGAGTCATTAGATTTTGAGTAAAATATTACTCACATCTTAACAGTTCAAGTGCCTTTACTTCTGCAGGAAAACTATTTGAGCACTAAAAGCAAAATGCTTTAAAGATAACATAATGAAAATGTTCTTTATAATTTATTGAGCACCTACTGGGTAGCAAGCAATATGCTAAGCATTTTTATTTGAATTAACTCATTTAACTCTCAGCAACCTATACAATAGATATTGTTACTCTCAATTTTATAAGGGGACTGAAGCTAACAGATAAAATAACTAGGCCTAAGGTCACAGAGCCAGCAAGCAATAAACATAGGCTAGATTCAAATCCGGGTCTGACTCCAAAACTACATTATTTAGTTTCTCTGCCATGCAAGGTTTACTGCGCAGCTCCTCCAGGACTCCAGGAACTTCTGAGTAAGTCTGCCCCCCAATGGTCAGAGAAGATCTGGGCCTGAAAAAGCTCAGGTTACACCAAGTGCAACATTTTTCAATTCATCTCTGAAACAGGGTTATCTCCAATCCACATTAGTTTGGAGTATTGCTATTCTGTTAGCAACAGACCTGAATTCTATGTTTCCCAAAGTCTCAGACCATTCATTTTATAGACTCCAAAAAGGTTTGCAGCAGCAGAATCACCTAGACTCCAACCCAGGAATTGGTAGCTGAAGCTTCCACGTAACGAACAAAGTACCTCAATGCAGTGCGGCAGAGTGGACTTGGATCTGATGAGAGATACAGCTCGGATCAGACCAAGCACCCACTAACCCAGCAGTTTGTCCTTGTGGGAAATGTCTGGCCTGTATCCCATTATTTCTAAACTTTAATCCCAGCCACAATGACCTTGCTGCTGCATCAAGACAATGATGCTGTGCCAAGAAGAGGAGCTTAAGGGCTCTGGACAAGGACAGCAGCAAACTGAGGGTTTGTGTGGTTCCTTTGCAGAGCTTTCCATAATGCCATGCAGAATTATGGGGGTCACCCTCGTGGAAAAAAAGACAGGCCTGCAGCTGAACTTCACAGAAGCCCAGGAGGCCTGTAGGCTGATGGGACTAACTTTAGCCAGCAAAGACCAAGTTGAAGCAGCATGGAAGTCTAGCTTTGAGACTTGCAGGTAAGAAACAGCTGGATTCACAAACAGGGCCAGAGCTCTTTGGGCTCTGTGTTCTTGTTCAGCCCTAGAGAGAAATGTAATGGTTCAACAAATATGTATTCTGTTACAGCTACGGATGGGTTTCAGACCAGTTCTTGGTCATCTCTCGGATTCTCCCAAACCCCAAGTGTGGAAAGAATGGAGTGGGTGTCCTGATTTGGAGAAGGTTTCTCAAGGAAAATTCTAGGGCTTATTGTCACAACTCATCTGGTAAGTCAGATCTGCAGACTCTCCATCTGACATGTTTTCTCCAGGCTTCCCTAGCTCTGCAGCATCCCTGAGAAGGGCAACCCTGAGCAGCAGCAACCATAGCAATGGTTATTGAACCCTCCCAAGACTGACTTTGTGGCCAGGCTAGAAGTGGCAGTGTGCCCCTTGGAGGAAAAAGTTAGGGAAAGTGTGACTGCCCGGCAACGTCAGGGGAAGGGCATTGCAGAAGGCTCCATTACTCCCCCCACTCCATCCTATGAAGTAGACAACAAGAAGAGAAGGAAATATCTATTATGGATAAAGTAATGTACTGTTATCTCACTGAACCTTGACAATCTCCCTATGAGATATGTTTAATCATCCTCGTTTTGCAGAAAAACCAGCTCAGAGGATACGAGTACAGTTGCCTGAGAGATCTCATTACTATGAAGATTTAAACAGAGATCTAACTCTAAAACCACACTCTTTCCATTATCCTATGTTCCTTTACAGGAGAGAAAACTCAGATGCTGCATTTGGCACTTTTTTTTAAACCAGACCTGACCTCCATTTCATGGAGGAAGGAGAAGAAGCTAAAAAGTAGAACTGATTTGCTCACGGCCACACAGTCACCCTTGCTTGGAGGCCTTGGTTGCCTTACCCCCAGTGCTTTACCTTCCCAGGAAGGTTTAAGTACCTTCTCAGAAGTCTTTTTCATTTACTAAATACTAATTGTTCTTACAGATCGTAAGAACCTCTGCCTGATTTATTTCTCTTCATACATATTCAAATATCTGACCTAAAGGTCATCCAGCTGAGTTGGCCATACACAAGGATAGATTCCAAAATCATTCTCCAAGATCCAAGAGAAAAATGGCATCAGCAATATGTTTCCCAAAGGCAACACAGGGTCCAAGCAGTCCTCTGACTCAGGGGGCTTTGTCATAGAAGGTAACCTGAAAAATGCTTTGTCTACTTCCCTCACTTCACAGATGAAACCATGAATGTTATAGCTCAGAATGGAGGTTTGGTTTGTCCAAAGTCCTACAGTCAGCTGCAGAGTCAAGACCAGAACATAAGGCTCCTTCTAACATTTTTTCACCACTATTCTCCCCTTCAACCTGTATCATCTTTGGCTGGGGAACTGGTGATTCACAGGCCACTTATCTCACTTATCTCGTAGCCAGCCCATGCCTGTCAGATGGCCTGGCCTTTTAACTGCCTGCCTTCCTGCCAGCTGTCAATGTGATGGTAGGATCACCAGCCCTCTAGACTCAACAAAAAAGAGTTAGGGAAAGAGAACATGAGTAGGTGAGTTCCCTCACAGTTTCATTTAACTTGTACTCCTATCCCCTATATTTCCTGTATACTTAAAGTTAGGTCTAGAAGCTTAGTTAGATGCACGTTTGATATTTTTAGCAAAAATACTGCATAGATGATATCATGTACTTTGGGTCACATACCAACAAAAGGCACTTAATGTCAATATGTCCCACTATTAATATGATAATTTTGATCATTTGGTTAAGATGGTGACTGCCAGACCTTTCTGATGAACTCAAAGATATGTTTCCCTCTTTCAATGTGTGGTCTACGGTGTGATAGTTTGACACCATGCAAATATTCTGACCCCCCGACTATCCTTCACCTGATAGTTTAAGCAGCCATTGATGATCTTTGCTGGAATCAGTTATTATATAAAGGGGAGCCTGTAAAAATGGTTTTCTTCTTTCTATGTGTGTGTTTTATTTTGGTTTGCACTTTTCAACTAATTATATTGGGGTGACATTGGTTAACAAAATTATATTTTTCCACTGTACAATTCTATGATACATCATCTGTGCATTGCATTATGTGTTTACCGCCCAAAGTCAATCTTCTCTGTCACCATACACTTGACCCTTTACCCTTTACTGTCTCCTCCATCTCCCTTGCCTCTGGTACCCACTATACTATGTCTGCACTTGAGTTTTTGCTTGTTTTTTCTTGTTTGTTCATTTGTTGCTTTCAGTTTTATATCCCATATATGAATGAAATCATATGATTCTTGACTTTTTCTGACTTTTTTCACTTAGCATGATGTCCTGAAGATCTATCCATGTTGTCACAAGTGGCAGTGTTAGAGGAAATTGGCAGTTATTTTAAAACATAGCACAGCACCCAGAGAATGACTTGTTTATGGCTTGTTTTTTCTTTTGTTTCTTGTTTGTCCCTGTGCGTCAGAGATAACAATTGCCCCTGTGTGCTAGAGATAACGTTTTCGTCTTGCTTATGTAAGCTGCTTCTTACTTTTGCACCAGAAATAACAGTCTAAGTGACAGACTGCCCTTCACCCTATATAAGCAATTGCTCCCCACTAATCAGAGCCTAGAATTTGGAGACTGCCTCCTCTGGGTCCGCATGCGTAATAAAGGTTCCACTTTGCTTCCTCCAGTGTTCAGTCTGAGTCTTTTCCATAACAGCAGTATTTCACCTTTTCTTATAGCTGAGTAGTATTCCATTGCCTATAGGTACCACATCTTCTTTATCCAGTCCTCTACTGAAGGACACTTCAGTTTTCTCCACGTCTTGACCATCATGAATAATGCTGCAATAAATACAGGGGTGCCTATATCTTTGCAAATAAATGTTTTCAAATTTTTGGACTAGATACTCAGAAGAGGGATTGCTGGATCACACGATAACCATATTCTTAATTTTTTGAGGAACCTCCACACTGTTTTTCACAGTGGCTGCACCAGTTTACATTCCCACCAGAAGTGAATGAGGGTTCTTTTTTCTCCACAACCACTCCCAAACTTGTTATTACCAGTCTTCTTGACAATAGCCATTCTGACAGGTATGAGGTGGTATCTTATTATAGTTTTTTATTATATTTTATTGATTATGTTATTACAGTTGTCCTGACTTTTCCCCCTTCCCCTCTATCCACCCAGAACCCTTCACTCCCTCAGGCAATCCCCACACCATTGTTCATGTTCATGGGTCATGTGTGTAAGTTCATTGGCTACTCTATTTCCTTTACTGTATTTACATCCCCATAGCTATACTGTAACTGCCTATTTGTGCTTCTTAATCCCCTCAACCCTTTACCCATTCCCTTATACCCCTCTCTCACCTGGAAACCATCAGAAAAGTTTCTGTATCCATGATTCTGCCTCTGTTCTGGCTTACTTACCTTGTTTTTTGACTCAGTTGTTGACAGGTGTGTATTTATTGACACTTTATTGTTCATAGCTTCAATCTTCTTTTCTTAAATAAGTCCCTTTAACATTTCATATACTAATGGTTTGGTGATGATGAACTCCTTTAGTTTTTTCTTCTCTGGAAAACTCTTTATCTGCCTTTTGATTCTAAATGATAGCTTTGCTGCATAGAGCAATCTTGGCTGTAGGTCCCTGCTTTTCATGACTTTGAATATTTCTTGCCAGTCTCTTCTAGCCTGCAAAGTTTCTTTTGAGAAATAAGAAAATAGTCTTATGGGGACTCACTGCAGGTAATAATCTTGTTTCTCTTGCTGCTTTTAAGATTCTCTCTTTATCTTTAACCTTTGGCATTTTAATTATGATGTGTCTTGGAGTGGGCCTTTTTGCATCCAGCTTGTTTGGAACTCTCTGTGCTTCCAGGATGGCCATGTCTATTTCCTTCACCAAATTAGGGAAGTTTTCTTACAATATTTTTTCAAAGAAATTTCCAGTTTCTTCCTCTTTCTCTTCTCCTTTTGTTACCCCTTTGATGCAAATGTTGGAGTGCTTGAAGTTGTCCCACAGGCTGCTTATACTATCCTCGTTTTTTACATTTTTTTCTTCTCATTGTCCTAATTGGTTGTTCTTTGCTTTCTTATGTTCCAAATCATTAATTTGATTCTCAGCTTCATCCACTCTATTGTTGTTTCTCTGCTAACTGTTCTTTATTTAAATTAGTGTATCCTTCACTTCTGACTGGATATTTTTTATGCTTTGAGGTCCTCACTAAATTCTTGGAGCATCCTTATAATCAGTGTTTTGAATTCTGCATCTGATAGATTGCTTATCTTCATTTTATTTAGTTCTTTTCCTGGAGTTTTGATCTGTTCTTTCATTCGGGCCATGTTTCTTTGTCTCCTCATTTTGGCGCCTACTGGTGTTTGTTTCTATGCATTAGGTAGAGCTGTTATGACTCCCTGTTGGTAGCATGGCCTAAGGTAGTAGGTGTCCTGTAGGGTCCAGTGGCATAGCCTCCCCCCCTATCACCCAAGGTGGGTATTTGAGGTATGGGTACTCAACCCCCTTTGTGTGGGTTGAGTACACCTTCCTCTTGTAGTTGAGCCTTGGTTGCTGTTGGCAGATCAATAAGAGGGATTTACCCAGGCCAGACAGTTACAAGAATTGGCTGTAACCACTGACCACCAACTTCTACCCTTCATGAAGGATCAGCTGTGCAGGGGCAGGGTAGTGGTGCTCTGATGTGGTCTATAGCTGTCCACTGGATGTGCAGGTGCTGGGGTTTCCCCAGGAGGTACAGGTGAAGGTGAGCCCCCACCTGTGTTCTTTCTGGGACCACCCTGCCTGAGCTACAGAGCAATCTGAGATGGTTGGTACTTGTGCTGGGCTTAGAGATTCACAGGTAAAGCCAAGCTGTGACTCTAGACTGGCTGCTGCTAGTGCCGGGCCTGGGACCACTTAACAAGAGAGAAACATCGATTCCTTGTCTCCCTTATGCACCCTGGCCAGACCAAACCTGCAACCTAGGCATGTGCCCTGACTGGAAATCAAACCTGTAGGCTTTCAGTTTCATGGGATGATGCCCCAAACTGCTGAGCCACACCAGCCAGAACACAATTTTTATCCTTTTTGATGCTCAAAGTATCCCAAATTTGGCAAGTAGGAGCCCCTTTTAGTTGGCTTTTATCCATAATCTCTTTAGTATTTGATCAAATCCTTATTTTCTGGCATAATAACATGTCTCAGGCTCACCTTGTTCTTGATCTGTTCCAGACGTGTTATCAGCCATTTACTTCTCCAAGGAGCTCTGGTCTTTAAAGCAGAGAAAGTTCATTAAAAACCAAGATCCGGATGCAAGTTGTTCTAACTACTACTGGATTTTGCACTGCTTCTCAGTCCTTTTTTGTGGACAGCTAGAAAATATATACATAATTTCCCAGCTGTCCACTAAAAAGAATATCTGTATACATACTGCTAGTTCACAACCTCAGGAGCTTCCCAGGTATAGTTTGGAACTGGTCCCTGTATGCAGAGGGCAGGGAGAGACTAAAGTAACAGGCAAACCACTCCAGATTGGTAGGTGGCAGGTTTAAAAAAAAAGGAACTTACTTATGAGTCTTGTCTTGGGTGGCCTCAGGACTGGTAGATTACTACGCTGCCTGCCAGAATCTTATAAGTTTATATAGAGGCCTTAACTGGGTTAGGTCAAGTACACAGGAGGCCCTAACTGGGCTCAGGCATGTATACCATCTAGATGGTCTTAACCAACACCTTACTGTCTCAAGGTTGGGTTCTTGGGCAGCTTCCAGCACCAGGAAGTAAAGCAGAATGCACATTCCAAGGACAAGAAGGGAGTGAGGAGCCTCCAGTTACCCAGGTCTAACAAACGAGTCAACAGGCAATCACGTCCTCTTGATGATTTCCCCCAACACACAAATAGTACATATACACATATGCATACACACATATACGTTTTCAAATTGTGGATTTTTTATTTATATGTAGAGCCCAAATTTAACAATTCAAGTTTTTCCTTAGTTTACTTTTATTTGTATCTCCTTTTTCTTATGTGAAACATCTTAGTTCCCAATAAGTAACTTTAATATATTTTCTCGTTCTCAATGCTTTCAAAATTACAAAATCAACATTATTAGGAATAAAAAACCTATTGAGAGGAGTATAGATTTTTTTTGCATTTTATTCAGTCCTCAGAAGTTAGAAGATATCTCTCTAAAGATGTACTGTCAAAGAACTGTGTACAAAAATAAATTCACTACTCTGAGTGGTTATAGTATTTTATTGAAATGAATTAGGTTTACCTGCTTCTGTCTGTCATCTTTGGGAAAATCAGAGTTATCCTAACCCTCATCCTAATGCTAGTCCTAAACTTACCCTATGCTTCTTTGTTTTTGTAACTTCCTTTTTTATTACCATCTGGTGAGGTCTGGGGATCAGAGTGATTTTAATGCTGATTTTTTCAACTGTATCTTTCTTATCACTATCTTTGTCAGCTTGGGGGATCAGACCGAAGAGCGTTCAAAGCTTCGTGTGTGCCATCTTTTTCACTCTATTCCCTCTGCCACTATGTGCAGCCTCTTCCACCTGACTAACTCTCCTTATTCAAATCTCAAATGTCTTCTCTAGGAACCCTACCTATACCCCTTACTCCTACCGTTCCTCTTGGACTCCAACCCCACTCTGTGTTTAATACCTACCAGAGCACTTGGTACATTCTAGAGAAATTATGTTTATAGATTGCAGGGGAAGGAGAGGCAGGTCCTAACACTTCCAAATGAGATACATTGTGTCCTTGACTGGTTAGGGATCACAGGACCAACTGCTGCTGCTCCCTCACACTAGGGCATTCTTGCCTACACTTAGTGAAGTGATCTTATCTATTGTTTATACACTGTGCTAGGCCGTATCATTTACTACCTCATTAATCCTCAGTAAAAGGACTCAAGTATATCATTTCTACTGATTCTTATGGTGTACCACACTGTGGGCACAGTTAATAAGGGAAAGAGCCAGGATTTAAATCTTAAATCATGTTACTTCCCTGTAGCACCTTCCATGGTGATAACCACACACCAGTAACATAGGCCTGGAATGGGTTCTGAGCATCAACATTTCTTTAAAGCTTCCCAAATGAGTCAACCCACAACCAGGGTTGAGAATCACTTTTTCCTCAAAGGTCTTTAAGATCTAAATTCCAGGAGTCCAGACACTTCTGGATTCCCCTATTTCCATGTAATTGCAATCATCTCGTTTGCTTCTAGATTGTACTGTCTTCCCTCTGTATTTCATCCTCCATCCACCTCCGCTAATAATTATGTTAATCTGCTCCACAACCTTAGATAACTTCCCATTTAAGAACATGATGTAAACTAGAAAGCCTTCTGTACATAAAAGCCAGATGGTGAAAGACAGATACCATATGATCTCACCTATAAGTGGAACCTAATCAACAAAACCAACAAGCAAGCAAAATATAACCAGGGACATAGAAATAAAGAACAAACTGACCGTAGCAACAGGGGAAGGGGAAGAGGGTTGGTTAATGGGGGAAAATAGGGGAAATGTCATCAAAGAACATGTATAAAGGTCACATGGACAAAGCCAAAGAGGACAGGATCAAGGATGGGAGGCAGGATGGGTGGGGCAGGGGAGGGTACTAGGGGGAAAATGGAGACAACTGTACTTGAACAACAATTTTAAAAAGTGGGCATGTATGAGAACTTCTGTATATCAGTTGAGAACTTTTGTATATCAGTTTGTGGACTCCAGGTGAAAATTCCTGCTTCTACAGAATAAATTCCAAATTCCTTAACATGACAGTTATGAATCTCAATACTCTGGCTCAAAACTGTCTTCCCAATCTCATCTCTTGCTTGCAGTCTTTCATGCTGCCAATCACACACACATCCTACTTTCCAACCTCACAGTGATCCTTCTCATTTTTCTAACATAACTACACTTTCAAACTTTTGGATTCTTGGATCATGCTTATTTCAATTGACTGGGATATTCTATTCCCCCTTCCATACTAGGTGAGTTGCTCCCCAGTTCCAGCCATTCTATTTCCCTCCCCCACACCCCAATCCAACATGCTGTGTTCATTCAACTTCATGTTCTTGAACTTCCTGTTCTCTTTACATGCATTTCTTTTGTTCTAGATCTTCAATGACTGGCTACTTTTCATCATTCAGGTCTCAGCTTAACTATCACCTCCACAAAGGGATTTTTCTCTTATCACCCTACCCAGAGTATCCGCCCCCATTCCCTACCCCTTCCAGTTTAAGTTTTATCCTATTCAACTTTTTTTCTCAAGATTTACCATCCTTTGACATTTCTGGCTTTAAAAAATATATATTATCTCTGTGCTTCCAATAGCATATAAGCCCCTTACAAGTAGGGACTTTGTCTCATTGGCACCATGTCCCTAGCAACTAGAACAGTGCCTGCACAGACTTGGAGCTCAGTAAATATTTGTTGAATGAACAAATTAATCTTCCACACCTTGCCCAAATGCCATATCCTCTGTGAATCCCCAGTGATCTCTCTCTCTTCTTATCAAAATTCTCTGTCCTGGAAACAGGAACTGTATTTATCTCTATATTTTCAGTTCCCAGCATAGTGTATTGTACTCAGTAGTTGTTGTTTTTTTCTGTGATACTAAGAAAGGTTCATTTTCTTTTGATTCCCAGTCAGGGCACATGCCTGGGCCAGGATCCCAGTAGGGGACATATGAGAGGCAACCACACATTGATGTCTCTCTCCCATTCTTTCTTCTTCCCTTCCCCTCTCTCTAAAAAAGGTTCATTTTCTGAGGGAAGAACTCAGTAATGCTCAAAATGGGAAGTGTAGCTAAAAGTTCAGGGCAGACAAAGTCAAAGATGATGTCTATTTGAATAGAGGTCTTTCAAAGTAAAATGAATGGCATAAAATTCTGACTGAATGTGTATGTAGTCAAACACTTTATCAGTACTATAATATCCATAACCTTGATTTATAATTTAATTTTCAAAGATGAATGGAATGACTTTTCTTTATAGCTGACATTTCAGCTGGTACTACCCACAAATAATGAAGTGTTTTAAACAGGTGCAAATTCATATTAGAATGTACTCATGGCTCTGCCATTTATGACTTCTATGACTTTGGGCAAGTCATTCAGTTTCTCTGAACTTCAGTTTCCTCCTATCTAAGTGGAGATTTGATAAAACTATTAAATGAAGTGCTATGGTGACTCAGAGCAAGATGCTCAACAAATGTTAGTTTCCTCTCTAACAGATTGAAAAGCAAACCCACCTTTCTCCCTTACCTCTCCCACCCTTTTTTGATGAGCGCAGAGCAATCTGGTTTGGGTAGACCTTTGTCCTGAAGTGGTGTCCTGCGTGTATATTTGCTCTCCCTAGCCTCCCCTTTCTTCCACTTTTCCTTCCTTCCTTCCTTTACTCATCAAATACTGAACATGCACTATGTGTCAGGCACAGTGCACACATCATGATGACCAAGACAGGCCAGTGGGGAGGAGTGTAACGAGAACTGTGGCCAGGGAAATCCAAGGAGGCACAAGAACATATGCCTAGAAACTCAATCTAGTCATCAAGTCTGCCTAAGAAAGAGATGTTCAATCTGAGACCTGAAGGATAAATAAGAACTAAATAAAGAGGGGGCAAAGATTACTACAGGGGAAGAAAGCATCAAGCTCAAAGGCTTGTGAGAGATGTGAGAGAAAGCATATCAAAGAACTGAAGGAATTTCAGTGTGGTAGGAGGAAGGACAGAAAGACTGATCAGATGAGGCTGGTCATGTCAGCTGGCCCAAATCATGGAGGGCCTCGTAGGCCATGCAGTAGTGGCAGTCACCAAGAGATTCTAAGGAAGGAAGTATGTGATTAGATCTGCATTCTTGTAAGACTATTCCAGCTACAGTATAAGGAAGTAAGACTATTGCTTCTTGGCCTTTGACTAAGATCAAGTGTAGGAAGTAAGACTAGAGGCAGAAAGATCAGTTAGGAGACTACTGGTCACTTTATTTTTCCCTCCCCAACAGATATTTGGATTAACTCATGCTCTCCAGAAATTATCACCACCGAAGATCCCATATTTGACACCCAAAGTGCAACATACACCACAGAAATGGATGGCAGTGACAACAGACACCCAACTTTATCTGCTGGTGTCCCTTATTCCACTAAACCTCCTCCAGTGCTGGCTTCTGCTTCTCCACGAAAAAGGAAATTAATTTGCATAACAGAAGTTTTTACGGAAACTACCACCACATTTATAGAAACAGAATCACATGGTGAACATACATCAAGATTCAAAAATGAAGGTGTTGGGTTTGGAGGTAAAGCTTTCTGTGTCTGTGTTTTGTGTGTGTGTATAACAGACAATACATAGAAATTAGACTGTCTCCAGATTGGGCACTCAGGACCTGCCAAACACAAATAAAAGGTTAATGCAAACTCAACTTTCATAGCCACAGAATTTGAGAGCTCTAAAAAAAGCCCTTAATGATTAAACTAAAAATCTTGAGTAGGAAACAGTTTCACTTGTCAAACTCAAAGACTTTTAAAATACATTCCTAACAACTAATGTGCAAAAGTTTTTTTTAAAATATATACCTTAAATGCATATGATTAGAAAGTTTGTTTTCTTATTAAAAAATAAACACTTCATTTTGGTTAATTAGCTCCAAACTTATCCTCACAAAGCCACAGAGAGGAAATGGACTTTTTCCCTCATATTGCAACTTAGAGAATAGAAAGAATATGAGAGGCAAGGCCAAGGGTTCTATAGGCAAGAAGCAAAGAAGCAGATGTGGACCCAACATCCTAAGTCGCCCCTGGGCCATCATAGAACAGGCTTTTCTCCTTCACTATCTGTGTCTCGATCGGGGGTGAGGACTCATCATTGAAAGAGCCGTGCACAGCACTGCACGAGTGAAGGACCAACAGGCCATGTCTGTCTCCTCCAGGGGTTCCCACGGCTCTACTGGTGCTTGCGCTCCTGTTCTTCGCTGCTGCAGCTGGTCTCGCCATTTGCTACGTCAAAAGGTAGGGTTGTTGGTCCACCATTAGTCTTGTAATCTTTGTGACCTCCCTATCTTGTGTTTTTCCAAAGTTGTTATTAGCATTTTGCTGGTCAAAATGGAAATGGCAGTCCTCTTATATTGTACATTTCCTCCCTCATCTCAGCTCTTCTCCCCACCACCAGTCTTCCCGACTATTTCAGCACATGCATCGTCATCCAGGCTTACATGATAGGTTAATGGCTGTCCCTTTGAAAATCAAAAAATAAAAAGAAAAGACTGACATCTTGAGGAAAATGTATATGCTTTGTTTGATTTTCAATTCTTTGCTTTGAGTGGGAGGGTTGTGAGGTCAGTCTAAAGTTTGGCCTCTGTGCTTACTATTCCATCTAAATGAATCCATTAGAATGGGGATGTGTTAACATATTTGAGTGCACATGTGTTAGCATCTCTCTGAAATAAAGGCACCCAGTGTTCTGTGCCAACGCAGACATCACAGACAAAGCATTATTTATTGTTCTATGTGTCACATAGGAGCCTCTCGCTTTGATTTTATGTTTATGCCCACAGGTATGTAAAGGCCTTCCCTTTTACAAACAAAAATCAGCAGAAGGAAATGATTGAAACCAAAGTAGTAAAGGAGGAGAAGACAGATAATAGCAACCCCAATGAAGAATTAAATAAAACTGATAAAAAGCCAGAAGAGCCCAAGAGTCCTCCCAAAACTACAGTGCGATGCCTGGAAGCTGAAGTTTAGAGGAAAAAATAAATGAGAGAACACACCTGAGGCTGATTTCTCTCCTGATACATATCCTGGCCCCAAATGGGGAAACTAAGGGAGCCAAAGAACCAAACAAGAAAATCCAACCTTGCTTCCTTCCTGAAACTGATTCAGGGGCACCTTTGGACTATGCAGGTAACCACAACAAATTCCCTTCTTACTGCAGGCCTTGCTGGGTCCTATCCTTCTGCCTCCAAAGCTTCCCACAGCTTTTCTAGCCTCGTTATGTCCTAATAATATCCCAGCGGGAAAAAGGAGCTTTTCAAAGCACACGGATCTAAAACAGCTAACCAGGGCACATTTGAAAAGAGGCCTCTGGGCTGGCTGAGAATAGGCAAGTTGAGAGCCAAGAAGCCACCGAAACCTAGGCTTTCTCTATTGACTCCAGAGCCCAGATCCCTTCTTCAGCTCTGAAAAGGAAACATTTACACCACCTGGCATGTTCTTCTGAACCAGGCAAAGGCAAAAGAAGGAAGGAAAACTTTAGCAACTTGAGGCCATAGACATTCCCGTGACTTGAGACCTGATCTCTGTAAAACCAAAACAAAGAAAAAGAATGAAGTTGAGGAAATGACAGCATACTGTCAGCAGGGACTGTGTCTACAGACAGGGTCAAAGTATTCATCTCTGAACAATTGCAGTTGGAATCACTCTTTAGAAATACACACACTTTCTTTTCTCTCTCTTCTGCTGCTCCTGTTCTCTCTCTCTATCTCTCATATATATATGAAACCAAAAATATTTGTTACAAATTTCTATTTTTATCTGAGTTAATTATCACTGAGGTAAAGTACTGTGCTGAAAAGCAATGAAATTTAACAAACATTTGCTGAATACCTACTATATATCAGGCACTGTACAAGGTATTACCCTCTGTAACTGAATATAGTTCATCAAAAGATTGCATATAGTACAATGTTGTCTGAAGCTGATTGTTTTGTTTTGATATCCTTAGCTTATCCACTTTTAAAACTACTTTTTTCTGAGACTAATTAACTAATTTTCTCTAGTATGGAAACTATTATAATGTTAATTTATTATTAACATAGCTAAAAAGTACATTATTAGCTTTATACACCAATGCACATTTTTAATGTCATTAACAAATGTATCGCTAGCTCTCTTTTTTCCAGCAAGAAGAACCTAAGAGGTGCAGAAATATTTGTAAAGATTTGTGCCAAAAATAAAAGCACTTAGAAAACTTCTTTACTCTCTTATTTACGTGGATGTATTGTACCTTTCAAGCAAAATAAAAATGATCTGTTGTTTGCAAAAGTAAGAGACAGTATGGTCATTGAACTACAAACGAGTGTAAACCCAGTAGTATATGTATCACCATGTGGGACTGTTCTTGCTTTATGGTCTTAACTTTAAGTTGATTCAGTACATACACACACGAAGTCCTTTTCTTAGGATTCAGGTCCTGCATTGCAATCCGTTTCAGAGTCCACAGGAAGCAGGAAGCGGGAGATTCAGGACAGCTCATCTGCCCTGTTTCTCTAGCTTCCTGTCTTCTCTCTAGTCTTTCCTCCTTAGACTGCTGACAATTCCTTCCCCTTGCAAGTGCCACCCCCCAGTTTCATGATCCTTTTATCTCAGAGGCCACAACTGGCTGGCATAGTCCTTTTTGGCTGGCCACCAAGGTATCATCTTAAATTCTGGTTTAATTGCCAAGAATTAAACATGAAGAGAGTTCACATATGTATACTTTGGGATATGCTTAAAAAATGGGACGATCTGGAGAGCGAGAACCAATATTCCCTCATAGCAATAATTACCTGAGCAGTGGCTGTCCTCTTCAGAAGGCTGTGCTGTCTCCGAAAGGAAGGGGCCCTCTCCCATGGACCTGGTAACACGTTTGCCTTTTGTTCCCCCCACACCAGCCATTTCTCTCATTTATAACCGGCCTGACCCTGAAGTTCGAAACTGATTTGTCAGTCCTTAAGCTTTATCAGTCTCATCTATTTCTCAGGAAATGAAGAGGAAAAAAATCTAAGTTAGTGGCCTTCCTTTAGCATGTGTTGACAGATAACCAGATCTCCCACACTAGAGACATCTTACAGGCATCTCCTACATACTAGAATTCTATAATCTTCTGTTAATTTAGACAGGTATATGCCCTACCCAGGAGGTAGGGGAAGGAGAACAATATCTGAGATCCAACCCCACCTAATTTACGGGCCCAAGTTGTTCCCAGCGGCTTTTAGATATGAACAGCCTGTCTTGGCTCTGGCTTCAGACTTTCCTAAAATCTCTAAAGCAAGCAGTATCTGTCATACCCTGTACCTCTTGCTAAGTGGACTCAGGCCTGTCACTAGCAGCAGCCAGCCTTGGCTTTTAACTTGGCTTATCCTGGGTACCTCCAAACCCAGCACAAGTAGAAACCACTTTGCAGATTGCTTTGCAGCTCATGCTGGGAGGCCCTGGGGAGGACACAGATGGCAGCCAACCTTGGCCTGCACCTCCTGGGAGGCCCCAGAGCCACCTCCACAAGCAACACACTCAACAGGTGAACTCAGTGGGTACCACTGCCTTGCTGAAGTAAATCCTGATCCATGGGGTGAGCCACTGCACACCTGATTGTCCACAGCTGTTGAAGCCAGTTTTTGTGCTGGTCAGCCTGGGGTTAAGCCCTCCCACTGTCATGCCAATAGCAATCAAGGCTTAATTACAACAGAAGAGGGTACATCTTCCACAGTGGGGTTTACCCAGATTGCCCAGCTTGGGGCTAGGTGTTGAGAGAGACTTGGGGGATATGTGGAAGAAGATACCCCAGAGTGATTATGGGCTATAATGAAAATAGGGTTGAAAAGGTAATTTTTGTAAGTTTTGCTCTGGCATATGTTTTTAAATATTTTTCATGTTTTTTGAGAAATGCAAAATAAGAAAGAGATTATTCTGAGGTTAATCAAACTTCAGATGGTTGCTTTGCTATGTTTCTTACTTCAGCACCATACCAAGCCTGAACCACAGAGATCTAAGCATAATAACAAAAAAAGAATCATTAGACTTCATAGTACAACAGGAAAATACGGTTCCTGTAGTATTATCATTATAGTAAGAAAATTTAGTCCCTAGACTAGTATCATTTAGAGAATGTGAATTAGAGACAGAGAGCTTGAATGATGACATTAGATACTGAAAGAAATGGAATTAACTCAATTTATCTCATATATTCTCTGACCTCTGCTTGCTATTTTCAGACCTGAGTTCATCACTTTTCATCTACACCATTGCTCTCCCTATTTCCAGTCTCAGCAAACTCTCTGTCACACCTACAGTCCATACTTTTATCCTATGAAAGTGATATAGAGCTTATTATGTCTTTCTTAGAACTTTTGAGGGCTCTCTATTTTCTCCAGAAGCAAGTCCAAACACAGCACTGTATGGGGTGGGTATGCTAAGCTGGCATTCAACATCCATTTCATATGTGTGGCTTCCTAAATTGTAGAGGATGGGAAGGTAATACTACTTTTCCCAGACTTTATACAGCTGGATTTATGTAATGCAAATTAGCTACTGCCAATCAACGCACACCCTCATGAATCAGAAGGCAGAGGAAGGAGAGACGAACTTTATGCTATTGCTGCAGCAAGCCTGATCCTGGAGATACTGGACTTCAGCAAAGTCCCAGAATCCAGCCTAGCTTCCTGGATGTGGAGAGGCAATTCCAGTCATAGCAGTGATTGGACTTAGTATGTAAGTCCATACTAAGATTTCATAAGGATACCTAATTTCCAGCGTTAAACTGTGTCTGTTTGAAACAGTTGGAGACGTTTCTATTTCCTCTGAGGGAAGCTTGACTGATACAAATGACACTGAACACATTTTACAATTTGACCTCAAACCCTCATCTCAAACCTTATCACTCATGATTCCTCCAAAAAACACTTCACACAATAACTACACAAGAGGATTTGCCATTTCACAATTAAATCTACACCCTCTCATCTTTGCAAATACTGTTTCTTTTGTTTCGATTAACCTTGCTTTTCTTCCTGATTATATTAGCTATCTATTGCTGCATAACAAATTACCCCAAAACTTAATGGCTTATAACAACATTTACTGTCTTGCGTTGTAGATCAGGAACTGGGTCCTCCGCTTAGGGCTCTCACAGAGCAGCAACCAAAGTGCTGACCCAGGCTGCGTCCATCTCAAGGCTCTACTGGGGAGGAATCAATTCTAAGTTTACTCATCTGGCTGCTGGCAGGATTCAGTTCCTTGTTTGCCATTGGCCAACAGTTGCCCTCAGGACTTTCCCAGGTGGAACTCTCCACTGGGGCAGCTCAGAAAATGTCAACTTGCTTCTTCAGAGCAAGGGAAAGAGAAGCGGTGCTAGCAAGATAGAGTCATGATCTTTTAGATCTCATCTTGGATATGACATCCCATTACTTCTGTCATATTCTGTTTATTATAAGCACCTCTAGGTCTAGCCCACACTTAAGAGGAGGGGGTTATACAAGAGCATGAATACCAGGAGGCAGAGATCAATGGGAGCCATTTTAGAAGGCTGCTTTCCACAACATTAATGAGTCCTTCCCATTTCTTTTCTTTGAATTTTGTTTATATGCCTATGTTAGCATGTGCTATGTTGTATTATTGTTATTTGGATACTTCTTTATTTTTCCTTTCACCTTTAGCACTTGTGTAGTACATGCAAATCTACTACATATTAGTTGGCTCTTAGTAAATGCTGTTGACTTAATTAATGCATGCATTCTTTGGGATTTCGTGAGCTCCAAATCATAACCTTTATCAAGCGATCTGTGCTGAGTGTTGAGATTATTCAAAACAAGACCAAATGTTCCTGTCGACCTAAATATTGATTTTCTTGATGACTTTCTTTGGGTATAGAATGCAGCTGTGAGCAATCCAGAAGAATGCACAAAGACTATTATACTTGAACTTTAGTCTCTGGGTTGGCCATTGACTCACCTATGTGAGCAATCTCATATTAATATTTGTTTTAACACGGAAACTTCAGCAGTGTGTTTTGGATTGTGGTCAAGTCAAAGAAAGTGAAGCTCCCACAGCAACCGCAAAGCCGTAAATATTGGCAAAAATTTTGGTTCCCCGGTCTCTAGATTTTTATTTTAGTCTTGGCAATCTGGAACTCTGCACACCAAATACTATCATTTTCTAAAAATTAGAATCCTTTTGGGGACATTTCCAGACTTTTTTATTGCTATGGCAATTGTTATTTGACTTGGGTTTAGTCTTTGGCTAAGTTGGAGACATTTTTCTGTGATCAAAAAAAGACAAAATTATGCCCTGGCTCATGTAGCTCAGTGGATCAAGCATGGGCCTGTGAAGCAAAGGGTCACTGGTTCAATTCCCAGTCAGGGCACATGCCTGGGTTGCAGGCCAGGTCCCCAGTAGGGGACACATGAGAGGCAACCACACATTGATGTTTCTCTCCCACTCTTTCTCCTTCCCTTCCCCTCTCTCTAAAAATAAATAAATAAAATATATTTTTAAAAAGGCAAAATTAAAAGTAAAATCTCTTGAAAATCAAAACAGCAAATAGAGTACTCCTTTGTGCATATTTTTACCTAAGAAGATTGCCATTTCGTCAAAAAACATTACAAATAATAATAGTAATAACAAAGACATATGCTACAAAACTTCATAAAAGTATAATATCATAGCAAAATATTTTTAATCACATTATGTTTTCTCCATTAGGTTTTTAAAAAATAATTTGTTAAAGACACACTAGCAAGTAGAAGAACACAATAGAAACTTCCATGTAGTGGAGGTATAAGGAAGCAATGTCTGAAAATCCAGCACGGAAAATGTATCTGGGCTACAAATCTGGAAAGGAGTGTGGAGTGATATATATGCCGCTAGGAGAAACCAGAGATGATGTCCACTCACCACGGGCATTGACTAGTGTCTGGGCAGAGGCAAGAGGCACACCTGACCCTACTTTGAACAAAAGCATGGCTTCGTCTACAGTAGGGGAACTTGCCCTGTGTCCAAAACCCCAATGCCAGGAGATCAGAGTCAAAAATGACACAGTAATACTTCATTGAGTAAGCTGAGCAGCCTGCATCTGCATGGAAGGAAAAAGTCATATGGTAGCAACCAGAGCTGAGGAACACTTCAAACTTTAATGTGAAATAATATTCCCACCTTTGCTTTCACCTCTATATGTCCCCTTAAATAATAACCCTTTTAATACATCCCCTTGAGGGACTGC